AACCCTAACCCTAACCCTAACCCTAACCCTAACCCTAACCCTAACCCTAACCCTAACCCTAACCCTAACCCTAACCCTAACCCTAACCCTAACCCTAACCCTAACCCTAACCCTAACCCTAAACCCTAACCCTAACCCTAAATCGCTTACGCCAAATCCTCGCCAAATACAAGCGTTCTTAAATGAGCGAAACTATGTAGTCACTCTAACCGACAAGAACTTGGGACTTGCGGTGTCTGAGCGAGACTGGTTAAATACGGAAACGTTAAAAATGCTTAATAACAAAAATGATTATAAACCCATAATGGAGATCATGGCACAAACGATTTTTAACGCTAAACAAGAAGAGATCAAACAAATAGCCCTCGTTGCGGACGAGGAATACGATCTTTGCGCCCTTAAAGTTCCGGCTTTTCTTAAGTCGCAATTTCCTGAAGAAGGACAGAAACACGAGTTCCCGGAATTCTATGGAATTCCGAAAATCCACAAGAATCCCGCCGGGTTCAGACCGATTATACCGTGCCATTCTGTACTCATGGGCCCCGCAGCGAAATTCTGCAGTAAACAATTGAAAGCGCTCGTCGCTTCTCAGCCAACCGTAATTCACGGAACTAAGGACTTGGCTGTGAAATTGTCGAAAATTAAACTACCTACTTTAAACTATGGCGAACGGTGGTACTTTGTCGCCGGCGACGTTGTAGCATTTTATCCGAACGTTCCGCTAGAACCATGTATTGATATCGTTTACAATATGTGGCTGGACTTCACGTTTACGGATCCTATGATGTTTAATGCAACGTATGAAGAGAACGGCATGGATCTCGGAGGAAAAGGAAGACAACTCCGACTCCTTGCCGAAGTAATGCGTAGATGCCTTAAAGTAGGAAATACGGATTTGATATGCCGATACGGCAAAAAGTTATTTTACCAAAAATGCGGCCTTGCTATGGGGGTCGCGGATTCACCAGATTTGGCGAATTTATATGGTTGTTACTTTGAAAATGCCGCTAAAATAATAGACGACCCTAACGTCGCCTATTACGGTAGATACATCGACGATTGTTTCGGTATTGTACGCGCGAAGAGTAGTGAATTAGCAAGGCAATACCTGGATCAACGAATATCGTTTGATGGCTGTCAAATCTTGTGGGAATCTTCGCCGACGCGGACCACTTTTCTGGACATGATGCTCTATTTTGACGACCTAGGACGTCTTCAATGGAGACCATTCCGCAAAGCGAAGAATCACCTAGAACGAATTCCTTGGATATCTCATCATCCTCTCGATGTTAAACGCGGTACTTTTATCGGTGAGATGTCACGGTTAGCCGTGCTGAGTAGTACACATCCCGTCTACTTGGAGAGCATAAGGGACCTGGTAGCCCTTTATGTAAAGCGCGGTTATCCGCAAGACCTTGTTATGGCTTGGACTAAGAAACACCTTGACGAACGCTGGAGTAAACGCTTCAATGAGAAAAAGCAGGAGGATGCTGACGGCGTTCTCGTC